GAGAAAGAGATTGAGAGAAATTAGCGTTAAAAAATTGTAAAAATAAGCGTGTAAATTGGTAATATTCGTGGAAAACTGAAAAAAAAGTTTTTTTGCCAAGTAGAGAGAGAATAGCTTAGTGGATAAAGTCGATGGTGTTGGATCCGCGGTCCAGTGTTCGATTCCCGGTGGAAAAATTTTGATTTACTCACATTTTTTCTTGTTTAATTTCGTATAAAAATGAAATAGAAATAAAATCAGTAAATTAAGATTAGTAAATGGAGACAAGAAGTAAATAAATAGGCAAATAAAAAATTTAATGGAAAAGTGAACAAAAAATAAAGAAACAATAAACAAAAGTAAATAATTAAACAAAAATACAGAAACAATAAACAAAAGGAAATAATTAAACAAAAATAAAGAAATAATAAACAAAAGTAAATAAGTTAACAAAAATAAAGAAATAATAAACAAAAGTAAATAAGTTAACAAAAATAGAGAAATAATAAACAAAAGTAAATAAATATGTAAATACAAATTAAACATATTTAAAGAAGTAAATTGAAAGAAAAATGAAACAAATGAGTAAATAAAAGTAAATAAATGTGTAAATAGAAATTAAAAATATTTAAAGATGTAAACTGAAATAAAAATGAGAAAAATAAGTAAACAAAAGTAAATAAATATGTAAATAAAAATTAAAAATATTTAAAGATGTAAATTGATAAAAAAAATGAAAGAAGTAAGTTAATTTAAATAAAATTGAAACAAATAAGAAAATAAAAGTAAATAAATATATGTAAATAGAAGTAAATTAGAAATATTTAAAGAAGTAAATTTAAATTAAAATGACACAAGTAAGTAAAGAAAAGTAAATAATATGTAAACAAAAGTAAATAAATTAGAAAATAAAAGCTGAAAATAAATAAGTAAACAAAAGTAAATATAAAAGTAAATAAAATTTTGAAATAATTAGATAAGTAGGTAAAAGAAGTTAATAAATAAATAAATGAAATTACGAAATAAAGAAATTAGTAAACAAATGTAAATAAATAAGTAAATAAAAGCAGAAAATAATAGAATAAGTAAACGAAAGTAAATTATTATGTAAATATATGAGTAAACAAAAGTAAATAAATAAGTAAATAAAAATAGAAAATTAAGAAATGAGTAAAAACATGTAAATATATAAGTAAATAAAAATAGAATTATATAGAAATGAGTAAACAAAAGTTAATAAATAAGTAAATAAAAATAGAATTATGCAGAAATGAGTAAATATATGTAAGTAAATAAGTAAATAAAAAAAGAATTATATAGAAATAAGTAAATAAATGTAAATAAATATGTAAATAAAAGCAGAAAATAATTGAAGATGTAAACAAAAAATTTAAATAAATGAGTAAATAAAAATAGAAAGGAAAGACATGAGTAAACAATTTTAAATAAATATGTAAATAAAAATAGAATTATATAGAAATGAGTAAATATATGTAAATACATATGTAAATAAAAGCAGAAAATAATTGAATAAGTAAACAAACGTAAATATGTAACTAAATTTGTAAATAAAAACAAATGAAAATTGAAGTGAACAAAAGTAAATAATGAAGTAAACTAATAAAATTAAAATAAATAAAATAAAAGTAAATAGAAGTAAATAAAAATAGAAAATTGAAAAATTAGTTAAATAAAAAAAGCAAATACTAAATTAACAAAAAATTAACAAAAAATAAAGAATAGAATATAATAAGTAATAAATAATACAAAAAATATAATAAATAACAGTTTTTAAATAATTAAAAATTGAGAAAAAAATTGAAAATTAATAATAAAAGTCTCTGAATAGAAATTAACAGGAAAAAAAAAATTTTTTTTTGAAGAAGTACCACGCGTCGAAGAGAGAAGAGGTATACAACACGAACGAGAATGGAGAAGTTAAAATAAAAAAAATTTTTAAAAAAGAAGAGAGTGAGGGGACTACTCACAGTCGAATAATAAATTTGCATTCACACGTCTTTTTTTGCTGGACTTGATTTCTCAGCCGCTCAACCTAATCGGTGATCTTACGTCACAGATGCAAAGTCGCAACCGGTTTTTGTAAGTCACTGACAAGTGGTTCGGACTTTTGACTCGTGTTTACTTTACGAGTACAAATCGACGTTCAATTTACATCTGTGTATGTATGTCTGTGCCATGGCATGGCATGGCGTTGCCTTTAAGCAAATCCGGATCGGCATTTTTAACGCACGTCAAATATTTATTATAAATTCAGGCGAAAACTGTTATTATTATTTTTGCTATTAATTATTTTTCGATTTTTATTAAAAAAAAAATATTTTTCTTTTTAAATTATTATTTCTATAATAATTATTATTATTAATACTTTGTTGCTATTTTACGCTATTTTAACTTTTATTTTCTATTATTGCTATTATTTGCTATTTTAACTTTTATTCTTTAATTGCTATTTTTGCTATTTTAACTTTTATTTTATATCAATTGTAATTTTTTGCTATTAGAACTTTTTTTATTGTTGCTATTTCTGCTATTTGAACTTTAACTTTTTATTGTTGCTGTTTTTTGCTATTTGAACTTCTGTTTTCATTTATTGCTATTTTAACTGCTATTTTTGTTGTTGCTATTTTAACTTTTATTTTTTATTGTTATTTTATGCTATTTTTGCTATTTTAACTTTTATTTTTTATTAATTGTTATTTTTGCTATTTTAACTTTTATTTTTTTTATTGTTATTTTTGCTATTTTAACTTTTATTTTTTATTAATTGTCATTTTTTTGCTATTTTTGCTATTTTAACTTTTATTTTATATCAATTGTTATTTTTTGCTATTAGAACTTGTTTTATTATTGCTATTTCTGCTATTTTAACTTTAATTTTTTATTATTGCTATTTTTGCTATTTGAACTTCTGTTTTCATTTATTGCTATTTTAACTGCTATTTTTGTTGTTGCTATTTTAACTTTTATTTTTTATTGTTATTTTTTGCTATTTTAACTTTTATTTTTTATTAATTGTTATTTTTTTTACTATTTTAACTATTTTAACTTTCTTCTTACATTAATTTTTATTTTTTGCTATTTTTGCTATTTTTGCTATTTTAACTTTTATTTTTTATTGTTGCTATTTTAGCTATTTTAACTTTCTTTATTTATTAACTGTTATTTTTTATTGTTGCTATTTAAACTTTTATTTTTTTTTGTTATTTTTTTGCTATTTGTACTATTGTAACTATTATTTTTTATATTGACATTGCTATTTTTCTCTATTAATATTTGCTTTTTTCTTTATTTTCATTTTAACTCCAATTTTTTTATTGATATTCTTTTTTTTATTTCTATTTGTTTTCTATTTAAATGCTATTTTTATAATTATTATTTTTATTGCTGTTTCACCTGCTATTTCTTAATGATATTGCAATCGTTACTTCTATTTTTCTAAATTATTTTGTTTAAAATTTTTTTTTCTATTTTTATTTAATAGAATATTTTTCTATTTTTATTTCTTTTTTATTTTACCTTCTATTTTTATTGATTTGATATTTTTCTTTTTTGGTATTATTATTTTTTAATGAAATTTTTACAACCATTTTTAATTTTTTAATGCTGTATTTTACTTCTATTTTTATTGCTTTTTTGCTATTATTGAAGGTTTGTATTACATTTTTCTATTGATAGTATTATTTTTTATTTTATTGCTATTGCTTTTTTTTCTTTTTCTGGTCTATGTAATTTTTTTATGGCTATTGATATTTTTAGTTCACTATTAGTAAACTACTAATTAACTATTAGTTTACTACTAATTAAACTACTAATTAACTATTAGTTAACTAAATTACTAGCTAACTACTAATTAACTATACTTAACTACTAGTTAACTATCAGTTAACTATTAGACAACTACTAATTAAATATTAGTTAACTACTAATTGACTATTAGTTTACTACTAAATAACTATTAGTTTACTACTAATTAACTACTAATTACCTATTAGTTAGCCACTAATTAACTATTATTTACCTACTAATTAACTAAATTACTAGCTGACTACTAATTAACTACTTAACTACTTGTTTACTATTAGTTAACTACTAGTAATGATTAGCTTACTACTAGTTAAGTATCAGTTAACTATTAGACAACTACTAATTAAATATTAGTTAACTACTAATTGACTATTAGTTTACTACTAATTGACTATTAGTTTACTACTAATTGACTATTAGTTTACTACTAATTGAGTTTACTACTAATTAATTGAAAATTACTTAACTACTAGCTTACTACTAGTTAAGTATCAGTTAACTATTAGACAACTACTAATTAAATATTAGTTAACTACTAATTGACTATTAGTTTACTACTAATTGACTATTAGTTTACTACTAATTGACTATTAGTTTACTACTAATTGACTATTAGTTTACTACTAAATAACTATTAGTTTACTACTAATTGACTATTAGTTTACTACTAATTGACTATTAGTTTACTACTAAATAACTATTAGTTTACTACTAATTAACTACTAATTACCTATTAGTTAGCCACTAATTAACTATTATTTACCTACTAATTAACTAAATTACTAGCTGACTACTAATTAACTACTTAACTACTTGTTTACTATTAGTTAACTACTAGTAATGATTAGCTTACTACTAGTTAAGCATCAGTTAACTATTAAACAACTACTAATTAAATATTAGTTAACTACTAGTTAACTATTAGTTTACTACTAGTTAACTATTAGTTAACTACTAGTTAACTATTAGTAAACTGATAATTAACTATTTGTTATTTTTTGTTTCTTCAATTGCTGTTGCTATTTATATTTATGGTAATTGCTATTTCGAGTAATTTTCGCTATTTGTTTATATTTTTTTTTATTATTGCTTTTCTTTGTTTGTTTTTCTTTTTTTTTGATTAAATAATTAATTAGTGACTAATGAGCTATAGTTATAATAGTATATTTTTTTCTTTTGGGTGTGAATTGACTCACCTTTTTGTAGTTGGCCATGGTCGGCGTTCATCTTGGCCTGCAACAAAAAATGCTGCGCTTCACCAAGTGGAAAATTTGTTCTCGAATTAAAAATGAGGGGGAAAAAATTTGTTAAAAAAAGGAAATTTGATAATCACCTCGTAGCCCTGCTTTGCACTTCGTCCCCCTCCCCAGTAATCACTTTCCTTGTCGTGAGGATTACATTGCTGCAACAAAAAGAAGAATTATTGTTATTTTTTTTTTAATTTTTATAAAGTAAAAAACTACTATTAGTATTTTTTTTTTTTTCAATTACTCCTATAAAGTAATTATACAAATAAAATTTATAATTTTTTGATAATTAATTAATTTAATTAATTAATTAATTATTTAAATTTTTTAAATTTGTTAATTAAATAATAAGAAATATTCTGAGAGGGAATTTTTTTCTCTTTCGCTGTTATAGAAAATGTGTTTTTAGTTTCTAGGTAAAAAATTGTAAGAATATTTATTTATTTATATACATATATTTTTGCGACAAGAAGACATAAATTTTAATTATTTTTTATTTAATGTTTTACTTTTTATTTTCTTTAGAGTAAGTATTAATCTTTGTTAAGAGCTTGAGCTTTTTGCGTCGTTTGTTGGGTTAAAGGCGAATTTTCTCTCTCTCTCTCTCTCTCTCTCTCTCTCTCTTCTTGCTCACAATTACGTGTCACGTCTACCACCCTTTAGTAAACTTAAAATTTTTTTTCTTTTTTCTTTGCCCCAGGGAAAAACATCGAAAACTCGGTCGCCCATTTCTGCGTCTTCGATTTTTCAAAAAAACAAAAAAAAGACATTTTTTTTAAAGAGAAAAATTAGTTATTAATTAGTAGAAATTACTATTTATTATTAAAATTTACTAAATCATAAGCAGACAGTCAGTCACTAATTCAAATTAGTAAACATTTTTGCTAATTCCTATTTAGAGGGTTAATTAATTAATTGCTGTTTATTAGAGAACTAATTACTATTACTAGGTATAAATTAATTATTCTAATAAATATCAATGAATTAAGTTATTCTTCTTTATTTATATTAATTAATTTATGTCTATTGTAATTATTACTAATAGAAATTAATTACCCTACTAGTACTTAAGGATATTAATTAATTTAATTAATCATTTTAAATGGCAGTTAATTAACAAAGGATTAATAATCGCAGTTAATAATAATTATTAATTTTTAATTAATAGTTTAATATTAGTAAATACTGGTCAACTACTAGTTAACTACTAAACCAGCAGTTAACTACTAGTTAACTAGTAGTTACCTATTAATTAACTACTAGTAGTTACCTATTAATTAAACATTAATTAACTAGTAGTTAACTAATAGGTAACTACTAGTAGTTAATTAATAGGTAACTACTAGTAGTTAATTAATAGGTGACTACTAGTTAACTAATATTTAATTAGTAGGTAACTATTAGTTAATTAATAGGTAACTACTACTAGTTAACTACAGTTAACTACTAGTTAACTAATATTTAATTAGTAGGTAACTATTAGTTAATTAATAGGAAACTACTAGTCACATACTAATTAACTATTAGTTACCTACTAATTAACTAATAGTTACCTACTAATTAAATATTAGCTACCTACTAATTAACTAATAGTTAACTACTAGCTAACTAATAGTTAACTGTTAGATAACTAATTAATTAATAATTAGATAATCAATAAATTTATTTATTGCTTAGAAATCTCTCGTAATTTATTGTTATCAAATAGGTAATTAATAGTAGTTAATTAATAATGAATTAATAATTACAGTTGGTAATTCATTGAGAATTATATTTAATTTAGTTAATTAAGAATTAACTTATTATTAATTAATAGTCAACTAATACTTAATTAATAGTTAACTAATAGTAAAATAGTATAGTTGTTTAATAATGAATTAGTAATTACAGTTATAACTAATTAATTACAGTTAACGTTAATTATCCATTAATAAGTTATTTATTAAAATTAAAATTAAAAATCTTTTAGTAGTTAATTAGTATAGTTACTTGAGAGTTATAGTTAATAGTTAGTTTACAGATTATTAATAATTAAATAACAGTTAATTATTAGTTAATCAATAGTTGTTTAGTAGTTAATTAGCTAGTAATTTAATTAATTAGTAGTTAATTAATAGTTTCTTAAAAAACAATTAGTAGGTAATTAATAGTTCCTTAAAAACAATTAGTAGGTAATTAATAGTTTCTTAAAAAACAATTAGTAGTTAATTCATAATTGAATAAAAAGAAACTGTTGTTAGTTATTTAATAGTTCATTTATAGTTATTTAATAGCTTCTCAATAGGGACATAATAGTGATTTTGTCGTTAATTTATAGATAATTTTAATAGTATAATTAAAAGAACTATTAGTAGTTATTTAGTAGTTAAATAATAGTTATTTAACAATTGTTTAATTGTAATTTAATAGTTAATTTACAAACTACTTAATAGTGACTTATTAGCGATTTAGTAGTTAATTAATAATTAGTTAATTGTTAAAAACTTTTAATAATTGATTAGTTAGTTAATAGTTACTTAATAGTTATTTAATAGTTATTTAACAGTTAATTAATAACTAATTAATAGTGACATAGCAGTGATTTAGTAGTTAATTAACAGTTATTTAATTTTAATAGAAAGTTAAAAAAAACTATAATTAATTCGTTAATTAATAGTTAGTTAAAGAATTATTATTAGTTATTAGTAGTTGAGTAGTTAATTAATAGTTACTTAATAGTTATGTAACAGTTAATTAATAGGTAAATAATAGTGACTTAGTAGTGATTTAGCAGTTAATTAGTTAATTAATAGTTATTTAACAGTTAATTAGTATTTACCTAATAGTTGTTTAATAATTATTTAATAGTTAATTAATAGTTAATTATTAGTGACTTAGTAGTGATTTAGTAGTTAATTAATAGTTAGTTAATTGTTAAAAACTATTAGTAGTTGATTAGTTAATTAATAGCTAATTATTAGTGACTTAGTAGTGATTTAGTAGTTAATTAATAGTTAGTTAATTGTTAAAAACTATTAATAGTGAGCTAAAAATTAATAGTAGTTCATTAGTAGTTAATTAACAGTTACTTAATAGTTTCTTAATAGTTTTTAATAGTTATTCAGCAGTTAATTGAGAGCTAATTAATATTGACTTAGTATTGACTTAGTAGTGAATTACTAATTATAACTATTATCAGTTAATTAACCAGTGTCCATTAATATAAATATTGCCTAATTATTAGTCTTCTACAGTCAGTAAATAAAAAAATCTCTGCCACTGCCCCTTATTAATATAATAATATTATTTTCCCGCCGGCGCCACCGCTGCTTTTGCAAAAAAAAAGAAGAAAAATTCTCAATGACAACCCAATGGGAAATGCCAGTGTAGTGCCGATGTTCACCACTGGCTTAGTACTCAGACGATTGTTCGGCGTAGTCTAGCCGAGCCTCGACAATTAGTGCTGGCGCAGTACAGAATTTTTGTTTCGCCAAAGCTTGGACAAGCCACGGCGGCAAGTGCTGGCTGAGTATAGAAAAATTGTTCACAACGCTCTTTGCCAACATTGCTTTTTTGACATAAACTTGAAAAAAATTATAAAAAAAGTTTATGAATGTTTATAAATATAAATTTATTGAAAAAAATTAATATTTTACTTTTCAGTTGTTCATTTTTTATTCTTATTAAATTTAATAATAACAATTTAACACAATTGTCTAATTTTGTAAATAATAAATTATTTAAACAAATTAAAATTATAAACAAAATTTAAACTTTAATCTCAATAATAATTTGGTTCCTTATTAAAATACTATTATACTTCTTACTATGAATAAAAAATTATTAAAAAATTACCACGTAATTTAAGAATTACGTAAAATGTTAAATGCAATAAGTAAAGTAATTTAATTTAATTATTAAAAATTTAGTTTAATTTATTTTATTTCAATTTATTATTTCTAACGTGTCCCAATTTTTTTCTCATCTTTGACTCAATAGTTGAATGTCTGAATGATACTGAGATATTAATACTTTACTGTACACATGTGTCGTTAGCATAGTGGTTAGAGCGTTAGTCTGTTAGTCCGTAGGTCGTAGGTTCGATTCCCCTCGTCAGCAATTTTGTTTATTTTCATAGGTTTGCGATATTTCTAGATTCCAATCGTTAGGTACTAAAATATGAAAATCTAATGCACACTTACTGTAATTGTTTATTATTTAATTTTTAAATGTTATAAACAATTTTTTTCTACTTCATTTACTATATCCGCATTGTTAGTCTCCATCTTTAATACAATTTCTTTAAGAAGAGAAATATTTTATGAATAATAACTATTTATTAATATTATTTACCATTTTGTTGTTAAATTATTTATAATTATGAATTTACGACTAATTAATAGTAATACGGCATTTATTGCGGCAATATTCTCAGCCAGCACTGGTCCAGTGCTGCGCCAGCGCTGTCTGTCAGCACTGACAGACAGTACTTCGGCAGCGCCGGACGGCGTTATCATCCCAGAGTTATGCCAGTGCTGGCTCTCAGCCTTGCCGCCAGTGCTGCCAGTGCTGGCGCAGTACTACGCCAGTTGTAAATTTCCCATTGGGAAATTATGCAATTTAGTGTGTATAAAAATGTAAATCTATTTTGAGCCTGCGACTCGCTTTTTACTTTTAAACGAGAAAATGTGAATTTGTCTGGCAGATCGCTAAAGGGCTTGAAAGGTGTGCGCGCAATGCAAGAAGAAAGTGAGGGTGGAAGGGATGAAGCTAGGCATCAAACTGGAAAGTAGTCTCTTCGCTATCTCTGCTGAAAGTGAAGTTGGAAAATAATTGACGGGAGCAACTCACACACACAGAGAGACACAAAAGAGATGAGGGATGTTACGTCAAGGGCGTTGGAGCGCAAGACAGACGGACTCTGAGAGGGTAGCGGTCGAAGGTTGACGATGACAAGGGAGGGAGGTAATGTGTGGGAGAGAGAGAGAGAAGAGAGTGTTGTTGTTGGAGGGCGGTCTAGACACAACACAGACGGGTGGTTTTCAGGGGGGTTGGGAAGGCCTGTGACCTTGGGCATCACTTCAGGTTCCTATGGTGATAAACAAGTCACGGATCAAAACGCCTGCCTGCCTGCCTGACTGCCTGTCTGTCTGTCCACAATGCGATAACAAATAAA